GCAGGAATTGACTTTTCTGGGACATTCCAAACACAAATGGTGTACAAAAATGCCTCCAAGTTGCTATATTGCATTTTTTCAAAATAAAATTTTTTTTAATAACATTTACAACATGGCATATGTAGCAATTGTTTATTCCACATACTTTCTTTATTTGCTATATTTTCACAAATGTGGTTACCTTTTAAACTGTACATATTGGTGATGAGATAGTGGAGCTTTCTAGATTGTTGGCACCATTTCAAGTGTTGCACATAAAAATGTAAGTATATGAAGCTCTTCCTCAGACTCCTTGAATGTATATGTTGAGGCTCATGCAATGACATGAGTTGTTATGAAAACATTCCATGTTGGAACTCACAGTGAAAGTTAAAACATTTCCAAGTAAGGCCAATAACAAAGAAGAAATTATGTTTTACAATGTGTGTTGTTAATAAAGAATACATTATATGACATGACACTTTCTGGAGGAGTCTGAAGCTCTATGTCCACACAGTGGGGACAGACTTCATAGAGAGGTTTAGGAGGGTACATGACTGATGTCTACAGGCCACCTCAGTGTTCCATTACTTGGTTGTCTTAGACCTGGGGTCTCCAAACTTTTTAAACAAAGGCCAGTTTACTGTTCTTCAGATTTTAGAGGGCCACACTGTGGCCTTCGGGAGTAGAAAATGTCCCAGCATCAGTTGGAATAAACAATGTCCCATTCTTGGTGTCATTAAGAGGAATTTTGCCCCATCATTGGTGTCATTGAGCCCCATTGTTGGTGTCATTGGTAGGAATAATGCCCCATCATTGTTGTCATTAGTAGGAATAGTGTCCTGTCACTAGTGTGATTGGGAGGAATTGGGACCCATTGTTGATGTCATTGGAAGAAATAGTGCCCCATCATTGGTGTCATTGGTAGGAATAGTGCCCCATCATTGGTATGAAAAGTGCACCATCATCGGTTGAAATAGTGTCCCATCATTTGTGTGATTGAGAGGAATTGTGCCCCATCCTTGATGTCATTTGGAGGAAATGTGCCCCATCATAAGAGTCATTGGGCCCCATTGTTGGTGTCATGGAGAGAAACTGTGCCCCTTCATTGGTATCATTGTTAGGAATTGTGTACCATCACTGGTGTGATTGGGAGGAATTGTGACCCATCGTTGATGTCATTGGGAGGAATAGTGCCCCATCATTGGTGTCATTGGTAGGAATAGTGCCCCATCATCGGTAGGAATAGTGCACCATCATCATCAGTTGGAACTGTGCCCCATTGTTCTTGTCACTGACAGGAACTGTACCCCATTGCTGGTGTCATTGGCAGGAACTGTGCACCATTGTTGATGAATGAAATAGTGCCCCAAGGGCCAGATAAAGGCAAGCAAAGGGCCGCACGGCATTTGTAAAAAAAAGGATATGAAGAATCATTTCTGAAACCAAGCAACATACACTTATGGGTTCTGCAAAGGTTTAACTTTGTTAGAAAGTGTCTATAAAATTGTATACAACTACTTAATGAGTGGCAAAAGAACAGGTCCAACATAGCTGAAAGCAGCAGCCATAACCTCAAAAGCCATTTAAAGCCCATTGTACCCTTTAAAGGGAAATGTGGAAAAGTAAAAAATACAAACCTATACTGACCTAGATGGCTGCAGCATTGATCCGATGCTGGAGCTATCCCCTACCATCTCTACACTGAGAACTGAGCATTCAAAGACTACTAATCACTCAGTTCTCAGGTCTACTCGGGCCTGATTGACAGTCACCACTCTGTGTTCTGCCCCATCAGCACTCACTGGAGAACCAGGCTGAGGAGCGGATGGAGACGGGAACGTCTGGCTCAGGCTCTCAGCAGCTTCCTGAGAAGCTGAGCTAGCTGCCAATCAGGCAAGTGGGTGGATCCTGACATTTCTGTCAGGATCCCTGGAGAGCCTCTACCAGCTCTGTGATGTCAGTCGACAACAGACTTTAGACTGGTGTTGGCTGAATTTGGGTCAGAGGAGTGCAGAACTAAGTGCACTTCTATGACCTACAGGAGAAGTATGGCCAAAAGAACTTTGACCATACATCTGCTTTAAAGCCTATATTTAGTTATTTTTTTTAAATAGCACAAGGGATGGTACTTATATTGAATGAGAATTGTCCCTTGTGCTTGTGGCTGCCCTCTTATTTGAAATCTTTCCACCTCCAGTGGTAATCTTCTGGTGCTGTGGGGGTTCTTTGGATCTGTCATAGGCACTTGTCGAGTGCTGACTATGCCTGTACTTCATAGAATCTGTACTATAGCTTTTATCAATAATATGCTATCTAAGAGGCAGACCTTTAATTGATCCACCCATCCTCCTATCCTATGACAAGTCCAAGGGCTCATTTTACTCCCTCCCTTGTGCTGATATTTTTCTTTAATTTAGCTGAACCTAGGCTTTAGATATCACCTACTCTACTGTATGCCCCAATGATTAAAGAATAAGTTCACCTTTCAACAAAAAAATAATAAATGCACATTTGTTTGCAGGTAAAAAAATGTGCATTTATTATTTTTTAGTTGTAGGAGCCTGTAAAGCACTGCACCAGGGATCAGCAGATCGCTGATGCCATTCAGGTCTTCTGCAGACCTGTCGGTGTATCTACTTTCGTGTACCTCGTTTAGGCAAGCCAATAATTACTGACAGGAAGAATCAGTGAACTACCACAACAGCACCATGGTAGTTAATTAAGAACTACAGACCGGCAGCCACTAAATCTGTCAGGATTTGTAGTTTCTCATTCCCAAAACACTGTAAATTTTGACAGCTAGCGGGGGGGGGGCAAAGATACCTCACTAGCTGTCAAAACAAGGGATTGGGGGGGAGCAGAGGCCGGTCATTCATAAGATGTTACATATCACACCCTGAACATGGGTGTAACATGTAACATGTTACAAAAGGTGAACTTATCCTTTAATGCCAACGCATTTCAACAAAATGGCAAAAATGAAACTAAATTTCCCAATTTCCTCAAAAACTTGAGGGAAAACATTCCACTCGCTCATCCCTACAGGCAGACCAAGCAGTAAGTGGCTTATGAATTTAGAATATGTAATAATTGGTGTTCTTTAAAATAAAATTGTTTGTATAATATTTACACATTTCATAAATACATGAACACTGCTTGGACCCAAATGGATGTGGACTTTTATGTATAGGAAGATTTGAAAGAACTGTCTTTGAATTTTATAACTACACAGTTTTTCTTTCATATTAGCAATGCGAGTTAAAAAAAAAAATTAAATTGGTTGTAAACCCTCACATATACCTAATCAAGTGACTGGCCTCAGGTGATATACAAAGATAAAACAAATCCTCCTACATAAGTTGTACCTGTATATCTGCAACCTACTTCCGTTCAAACTGCAGGATGTTAAAGCTTGCCTGAGAGTTTAGAAAAAAAGGGGGCAGAGAGCTGAAATTACACTTTGTAGAGCTCAGTGAGGAGACCTCTGAGAGCTGATTGGATGAAAGGGACACCCCCAGCTTACCCCTCTGCTCACCCTTTTCACCTTTTTTCTCTTGGTGTCAGGAAAACTTGTCAGAAGAGACTCATGCTGATAGTAGAGGAATGAAGCAGCATACAGAAATGACACTTAGAGGTCTGGATTGAGACAAGTACACACTATAAAGGTATATGCATTGTTCATAGTTCATGTCCGAGGTTTACAAACCGCTTTAAAGAACAAAGCTAGGCTTTTTCTTTGGACAAATCACAATACTTTTCATTGTTAAAAATAAACAAGTTTGAAGTATGTTTTTCTTAAGGTGTATTTCCACTTTTGCAGCCGAATTGGGATATCACCTACTTTATATTTCTTACATGTTACCATTAAAATAGCATAACTTTTTTTTTTTTAATTCCTGCTTACCTTAAGTGCTTTTTCACCTGATTAAAAATCCTTAGTGCTCTCCATGCTTTGTTATGTTTAGGAGGGTGCTGAGGAGTAATGTTTAATATAATTAACCCTGTCTGTACTGAGTTCATTATCAGCTGTATACTAGATTGGAACACTGTCTGTCCTAACAAAGGGTTAAAATTTGGAAACTTTCCTCCTGCATTGTATGGTAATGAGGTATAGCTCAGTCTGTGTGGTGATAGAACCACTGTGAGACTGTCCAAAATTCTTAGAATCAGCTATAGAACCTTCCAAACATTTGGAAGGTAATAAATATTTTTCTAAATTTTTTCTAGGTATGATGTGTTAATTTGAAAACATAACACACATATAGTGGGGTTTTCTCAAATTTGGCAGCAAATGTGAAAATTCCCTTTAAGTCAGGTATCAGGTATAAATGACACAGTGGCAGCACAGTGGCTAATTGGTTAGCACTTCCGCCTGGCAGTACTTGGGTCGTTGGTTCGAATCCCAACAATGGCACCACCTGCCTTAAGTTTGCATGTTCTCCCTGTGTCTGTGTGGGTTTCCTCCCACACTCCAAAGACATGCTGGTAGGTTACCGTATTCTTCGCTCCATAACACGCACCTGACCATAAGATGCACCTAGGTTTTAGAGGAGGAAAACAAGAAAAAAAATATTCTGAACCAATCTACTGCAGACATACTACAGGAGATGACCAGAGACTGCGGACACAGTACAGGAGATGACCAGAGACTGCAGACATAGTACAGGAGATGACCAGAGAATGCAGATGTACTACAGGAGATGACCAGAGACTGCGGACGTACTACAGGTGATGACCAAAGACTGCAGAAATACTACAGGAGATGACCAGAGACTGCGGACACAGTACAGGAGATGACCGAGAGACTGCGGACACAGTACAGGAGATGACCAGAGACTGCAGACATAGTACAGGAGATGACCAGAGAATGCAGATGTACTACAGGAGATGACCAGAGACTGCGGACGTACTACAGGTGATGACCAAAGACTGCAGAAATACTACAGGAGATGACCAGAGACTGCGGACGTACTACAGGAGATGACCAGAGACTGCGAACGTACTACAGGAGATGACCAGAAACTGCAGACATAGTACAGGAGATGATCAGAGACTGTGGATGTACTACAGGAGATGACATTTTTTTTTCCCTCCGGACTCCTCCTCTCTTCTGCCACAGAAGACTGCGACACAGTACAGAAGATGACCAGAGATGGCAGACACAGTACAGGAGATGATCAGAGACTGCGGACACAGTACAGAAGATGACAGGAGACTGCAGACCTACTACAGGAGATGACCAGAGACTGCAGACATAGTACATGAGATGACCAGGGACTGCAGACATAGTACAGGAGATGACCAGAGACTGCAGACATAGTGCATGAGATGACCAGAGACTGTACACATAGTACAGGAGATGACCAGAGAGTGCAGACCTTTGGGGAGTGGGTACCCACACCCACTTCCGCTGCGATTGCCTAGGCAACCGTAAGCAGACGTTGTCCTACAGCACCCCCCCCCCCCCCCCCCCTCCCTGAAGTCTTGTGGGACAAGTGACAGGTCCCAGAAGACTACGGGGCCATTCACAAAGCGCAGCGCTTCTCGAGCATGGCTTGGGGGACGAGCAAGCAGCGGTGCCCCCCAGGGCAAGTGGCTTTCCCTGGGGCACTGCTTGAGGGGGAGGAGCCAGGACCACCAGTGGGGACCCAAAAAGAAGAGGATTGGGGCTGCTCTGTGCAAAACCACTGCACCAAGCAGGTAAGTATGTTCTGGATTTTTTTTTTTTTTGCATCTTTTTAAATAAATCTTTTGTGTCACTTTAACTTTTGCCTGATAACAAGTACTCATAAGCATTGACATGCCCATTACCATAAGCATAGTTTTTCAGCAAGTGGGAAATACTCTGTATTTTTTTGGAGATTAATATCCTTTTCCCATAAAAAGGGGAAAGGTGTCTTCAGCATGTGTGCATCACATCCAGACGTCAGGAAAACAGGATGAGGTTGGATCCCCGTAGTGCACATTTCTCTTTTCCTGTCATTCTCCATAACAACTCCACCTCTAATGTATACTAATCCTTACTAATTAGCTGTCAGTAAATATGAAGATCAGAATAGATCAAATATTTATTCTCAGCTAAAATAATCAGCATTTTTCCTGCTTTGCAGTGTTAAAAAAAAAAAAACTTTGAGTCTACATGACGAAGATGCAGTGAAAGTTTGTGTAAATGCAGCAAACAATGAAAGAGCCACTTTCCAGGCAGAGATGTTATGGCATTAACAGCTTTACACTACACAGTATTTTTGTTCTAGTCGTAAGGGAAGCCTTGTTCAGCCTATTTTGGGGCCTCATGACATGCTGCCAGCACTACTGAAATTAGCATTGGTCTTTTGTTTCCCTGCATGCGCGCATCATACACTGCTGATCTGATAAACCCTTTTCTCCAAACACCAGCATTTTTCAAACAAAACTAGCATGGGACTGATGAGTAATGTGAATGTGCCCAAAAAAAAAAAAACTTTGCAACCGTGGTTACAAAACCCCAGATGGAGGAAATTAAGAAGATAGCCATTTACATATTATTACTGATTTTGTGGTTCATAAAAAGTTTATTTTCTAAGTACTTCTCCAAAAGTTTTTAAAAGTTTCTGTTTTTTTTCTTTAATAACCAGAATAAACTTTCAGTACAAGGTACTACAAAAAAAATTCTTATTACCATTTTTTGTAAAAAAAAATATTTGAATTGCCCATTCACAGCTTTGCACACATGTTGCAGCGCTCATGGTAACTCACACATGTAGATGTGAATGGGCCCCAAATTTCTATGTTTTACTGTAGGAAAACAATCGTGTGAATAGGCCCTAACTCACAGTCAGTATTGTGGTTCCTTTTTTCCTGGGCAGACCAGTTAAAGGAAAACTCAATTTTTGCATGAAAGATTGTACGCCCCTTGAGGGTTAGGGACTGATGTGAATGCACAATATACACGCAAAAGCGCTGCGTAAATTGATGGTGCGATATAAGTACCTGTAATAAAAAAATTAAAATTAAAGACACAGATACACACCCAAACAGGACATTTTACAATTTCCCATTCAATCCCCCTTCAATCTTTAGCCAGTGTGATTTTTTTTTTAACGGGCCAAAAAATTTAAATGTCACCATGTTGCAAAAAAGCAACACAGAGGTATCCCATATACTGCCATTTTTTTGTGCAGATTACCGTCTTTGCCCATAAATCTATACAGTATCAAATTAGGTGCATCCTCTGCGATAAGAGTTTCATGGGTGCATCACCTGCAATAAGAGTTTCACAACTGATATACTTTATAAGATAAATCCTCACCTACAGGGATGCAAAGCCTGATACTTTTCTCTTTACAACTCTAAATGGAAGGCAGACTCTCCTGTTCAGAAATCCATTTGAGAAAGGATAGACAGTAGTAAGGTATCTGAGTTTGTCTGCACAACCTAGCACAAAGCAGACAATGGTATGAATCTGCAAAAAGGTTTGCTTTAATCCCTGTGATGTAAAGTTTTTTTTTTCTTTCTCAACAGATTTAAGTTACACTTAACCCTTACAGACACTCTGCTAAGTTCACATTTGTGCGTCTGTATTTCCATCCATTTTTCCTGCATTCTTTTAATGTATGTTTTGTGTTTCTCCCATGAAGTCTATGGGGACAAAAATACACCAAAAGAAGCACCTGTACCTTTTTCCAAGTTTCACAGAAAGGAGCTGCACAGGTGTGAACAGGCTCCACAGACAATAATGGGATTCATGTTGTCATACATTTTCACCTGAAAATTGATTGGGTGTGAATGGGGATTTAGAAGGTGTTAGAAAAAAAGGTGGTGTAAAATGATGCTCATAGACACCCCCCCTCACCATCCATGTTCTACAGGTTATTTATACTGTATAATGCTGCCTAGTTCTGCCAATGTAAGGCAGGCCATAGATTAAGCAATTTTCGCTCAATTCATTGTTGATGTGGAGGAATCGGGAATCCCTTCCACGTAGCTATTGTGTTCTCCTGGGGAAGGGGGGGAGGGAGCTGTCCCTGCCGGGAGAATGCAATGAACACTGCTTGTGGCCATATAGCACTGGCAATAATTGCATGCAAAAAATCTGACATGGGGGGTTGTACCCAAGTTGATCAATTGATCGACTTGGGTACAATCAGCCTACTCATAGATGTATCGAGTCTCGGCCAGTCTTTGCTGAAGTGGCTGAGATCCAATACATCTATGTTTGCCTAAGCAGAACATTCCTCTTCGTGACATTCTGAGATTTCACAGGAGCCACAGAGGACAATCAGATTTTTTCTGAACAACATACTTTTATATAAATGAACACCATATAATATACTGCATCAAAAATTGGGAAGAAATTATATCAGCTGAACTAGAAAATGTCAGACAGTACTCTATCATAAATGCTGGGATAAAATTGGCTCCTGTTATATTAGCTAGATATTGTAATAAAATATGTGCAAAGTGCAGCTTCCAATAACAGCTATGCAGATTTCCTTCAACTGAAGTCATCAGTGATCGATGACTGCTGAGAAGTTCACTCTTTGGCAGGGGCGGACTGACAACTCATGGGGCCCCTGGGCAATAGGGGATCATGGGGCCCCTGTGTCCTTGCCCAAACTCAAAAAAGCCTATGAAAAAGGTACCAGAGGCATCTCATGGGGCCCCCTACTGACCCCGGGCCCTCGGGCAGTGCCCGAGTTTTCAAATGGTCAGTCCTCCACTGCTCTTTGGGTTACTGAATATACCAAAAAGTACATTTTCGGGATATGAGCATGCACAGATTTGTGAGCGGCAGAACCATTTTCCAATAGCTGGATACATTTCTATTGAGGTATTTCTGTCCCTTTTTAGGTTTATATACAGCTAAAGGTTTCTGATCTGGGATTCAAATCTCCCACATACATTAATTTTCAAATTAATTAATGAAACTGCAGTTCAGTTCATACAGTTAGACTGATATTTCCTTTCTTCTTTACAGTGGACTTCATATTAAATGTATAAATGTTAGGCAATGTGTTCATTTATACATATACTAGGGCCAATTTAGACAGGATCCAATTAACCTAACAGCATATTTTTGGAGTGTTGGAGGAGGAAACTGGAGTACCCGGAGGAAACCCATGCAGACACAGGGGAGAACATGCAAACTCCAGGCAGGTGGTGCTGTGGTTGGGATTCGAGCCAATGACCCTAGTACTGCCAGACGGAAGTGCTAACCATTTAGCCACTGTGCTGCCCTACTACCAGGTATTACCTTTGACAGAGATCACAGTACTCCCCTGACAATGACTTTATCTGATTTTCTCTATAAAGCTGGGTATACACTGTAAGGGGTTTTTTTTAGGTTCAACCAGTGGGTTGAAAAAAAAACCTCACAGATCCATACAAGTGATGTGGATGCAGGAATATCCCCCACCGCAATATTGTATTCTAACAGAGAGGAATCCCCACGTCTGAATACACTGATCAGCACTGCAGCCATTGGTTGCATCAGCTGATCGAATTCTGGTTTTCCACAAGGACTGTTGAACAGACAGGGCTACACACAGATCGAATGTTAATAAATGTATACCCAAGCTTTAGAATTTAACCATCATTGTTTAGGCATCATCTAGGGTCAGCATCTATGTTCTGGACTAAGATGCCACAGTCATGTGAACACTGTTTTTTGTGCAGTACATGGCTGTGTTCACAAATATCTTATAAAAATGAGGCACCTGCTGTAGCCTGTGTTACAATCTGATCACTGGGGAGGAGAAAACTGAGGAAATTCTTTGTCCTGCCTACACCAGACCAATTGCATCATTATAGCCTAGGCAAATTCACTGGACTGGAGGTCAAAGAGAGATTTTTAATGACAAAAGATGAAAGTTTTCGGAAAAATAACACTGTATTGCATGTTAGCCACATGGTTAGCGAAGTACAATGATGAGCTCCCTTGTCCATTTCACAGCAAGAATCATTAGAGCTTGTGTGCTCTAACCCTATTGGTTGCATTGGTTTCTTCAAGAAGCTCCAGATTTCTTTCTTTGGCTACTGGTCATATGAACAATACAATATTTTAGACACCTTCACGTGGGGCTGTGTATTGTTTATTTTTAGCTTCTAATACATTCAATGTGCTTCAGCAATCCATTTACTGCTTGATTTTTATTTGAGACCTTGGACATCACTTATAAATTAGTAAAATACCCATGTCTGGCCAGTTATAGGTGCATTAGGCCAGACAGAGATGTGCCTATTAAAGGAATATTAATATGTACCAAAGTGTAAATACTAAGCACTGTTATTGTTTCTCCAAAACCGCCAGGCTCCAGCATGTCCTGGGAAATGACAATTTAAATCTTCAAGTTTGAGCCTGATTGGTGGCTGTGGAAAAATAAAGACACGCATTAGCGAT